TTCCCTCTCACTTTCTCTGTCTGTCTCTGGAGAAGGCACATACCCTATGGCAAAAACCTTAAAATTAATGACAGAAGCCTTGGACAAAGGAACGAGAATTACAGATGTCTCCTAAGTTTCTGTTTTAAGCAATTAGGTGGATGGCATTGCCAACTAGAGAGAGAAAGACTTAGGGTGGGAGGAATGTATGGATCAAGCAGAAAAGAGTCCATTTGCTAAAATTGAAATTGTTTTATTGGGACCAGCAGATGGCATAATGGTTATGTTGCTGAACTCTCACGTAGTCGACCACGGTTTGACTCCTGGACCCAGCGACTTAAAACTCAAACTGGGCGCATGTACGTGGTGTGACCAAAATCCTGAGAGGAGAATGAAAGAGAAAGGATTGCAGTGTAGCCATCCCCCCTGGGGGGGGGGGAGCGATTTCTCTCTCTCTCTGTCTCTCCGGCGAGTACATGTACCTTATAGCAAAAAGTCTCTCTGTTAAAAAAAGAATGGTTTTATTAACATATTATAGTTGGACATATTTGCGAGGGTACAGTGTGATTTTACAGTACAAGGGTATATTATGTAATGATTCATTCAGGAAAACAGGCATACCTGTCATCTCAATCACTTATCATTACTTGTGTGGGAATATTAAAATCCCTCCCCTTTAGTTACTTCGAGATACATGCAAGCTGTCGCTACTATATTCTCCCCACTATATATTTTTTCAGTAACACTAGAGGTTGTTCCTCTTACCTGTCTGTAATGTTTCCATTAATCACCCCTTTAATCCTGTTGCCTCCCTCTGGAATCCTTCCCAGCCTCTAACAGTTAGTTATTCTTTACTCTTCTACCATTTTTAATATAAAATTTCTACATGTGAGGTAGAACATGTGGTATTTCTCTTTTGGTGCCTGGCTTCACTTATTTTTAATATAAAATGTCTACATGTGAGGTAGAACATGTGGTATTTCTCTTTTGGTGCCTGGCTTCACTTAACATCATGTGTACACACACAGTTATCTGTGGGTTTGTCATACATAACCTTTATTGTATTGAAGGACATTCCTTCTGTGCCTAATTTGTTGAGTATTTTTGTAAAGGGATGTTGTATTTTGTTGGATGCTTCTTCCACATCTGTTGGGATAATCATATGATTTTTGTTCTTGATTTTGTTGATAGTGCGCGTCCAATTTATGGATTCACGTATGTTGACTCTTCCTTGCATCCATGGGATAAAACCCATTTGGTCATGGTGCATAATCTTCTTCCTGTGCTGTTCGAGTTGATTTTCTAGTATTTCATTCAGGGTTTTGGTGTCTATGTTTATTATGAATATTAGTCTGTAATTGCCTTTTTTTAAAATGTGCCTTTGTTTGGTTTGGGTATTAGGTAATGCTGGCCTCATAGAGTGAGTTTAGGAGGGTTTCTTCCATTTCAGTTTTTTGAAATGGTTTTTTGGAGTATTGGTGTTAGCTCCTCTTTAAAGGTTTTTATGTAATTCAGCAGTGGAACCGCCTGGTCCTGGGCTTTTCTTTGCTGGGAAAATTTTTATTACTTATCTGACCTAATTTGTTGTTGTTAGGCTGTATAGGTTTTCTGTTTCTCCTGATTCAGCCCTGATAGATTGTACATGTCCAGGAATTTACAGATTTCATCTAGATTTTTTAGTTTGTTGTCATATAATTGTTCATAATACTCTTTAATTATTTTTTTATTTCTGTGGTATTGGTTGTAATGTCTCCTTTTCATTTTAAATTTAATTTATTTGGGACTTTTCTCTTTTATTCCTAGTCTAGGTAAGGGTTTGTCAATTTTGTTTAACTTTTCAAAAACGAACTTTTTTTTTTTAATTGATTTTCTGTGTGTGTGTTTTTGGGGCTAGATCAAGTTTGTTTATTTCATCTCCGATCTTTACTGTTTCTTTGTCCCACTAATTCTGGGATTAGTTTGCTCTTGTTTTTCTAGTTTTATGCTATGGGTCATTAGATAGTTTATTTGACTCTTCCTTTTCTCCCTTTCTTTCCTTCACTTTCTTTCTTTCTTAATGAAGACACTTGTAAGCTTCCTTCTTGGAACAGCTTTCACTGTATCCCATGGGTTTTGGTATGTTCTTTTTCATATCATTTGTTTCCAGAAAATTTTACATTTTTCACCTTGATTTCTTTCTTAACCCATGAGTCATTTGGGACTGATGGGTTATGTATTTGTATTCTTTCCAGTGTTCTTTTGTGAATGATTTCTAGCTTTATTCCATTGCGGTCAGCAAAGATACTTGATATGACTTCTATTTTTAAAACTTGTTTTAGATTTGTGATCTAGTATGCGGTTTATCTTGGAGAATGATTCATGTGCTGATGCAAAAAATATGTATTCCACAACTATGGGATGGAACATTCTGTAAATATCTGTTGGGTCCATGTAGCTTCCATTAACATGGAATTATCTTTTTCCATTCTTTTAAGTCTGTGTGTGAAGTGAATTTTTTTGTAGACAACATAGAGTTGGGTTTTGTTTTCTTATCTGTTCAATCAGTCTATATCTTTTCAATGGGGAGTTTAATCTATTTACACTTAAGGTTATAAATAGATTAGAATGGTCATTCTGTTAGGTGTTCTGATTGTCTTGTGTCTCTTGTTCCTTTTGCTCTCTCTTACTGTTTATGATCGTGGTTTGGTGATTTGTCATGATAATTGTGTTTGATTCTTTTCTGTTCCTTGTGTGTGTATCTAGTTTGTGCATTTTCTATGTTCATCTTTTTTATGTTGGTAGTTATTACCTTTTTGTTCTCAAATTTGGGACTACCATAAGATTTCTTGTAAGGTTGGTCTTGGTAAAGATGAATACCCTCAGTTTTTGCTTGTCTGAGAATTTCTTTTTATTCCCTCAAAGGATAGTTGGATACAGTATTCTTGGATTGCAAGGGTTTTATTTGCTTGTTTTAGTATTTTTAATATATCATCCCA